ATGCTCCAAAATCAAATTGGTAATGCTCTATTTTTCACAAGGAGTTCATCAGTGTAGTTGAATTTAAGGTTCACGTGTAGAAGTATGAATTTGAGTATTAAATTTAAAGTGGGTTTAATTCTTGAAATGGATCTTATAGAAAACGAGTCTTTCTTCTTTAATTGAGTCTTGGGTTGTGTTTTTAGGTTGTTTTAGGATTGTTTGGCAGTAGTGTTAGGGGTTGTCGTAGTGTGTGATAATGGGATAAAAAAACCCTCATGGGTTTGAATCCTAAAAATTTGTTTTTTGATAAAAACTTGATTTAGCTCGGAAAAGGAGCTTAGGTCTACTTAATTTGGGGTCAAGGAATCCATTTTTGACCTCATAATTGAATTTATAGGTCATTTGAGGGGTGAAACGGATAGTTACGGGTTTGGCCATGTGTTAAAATTTTTTATTTTTCTTAGACTTTGACCTAGTTTTTGGAAAGGTTTAAACTTAATCCAAAGCTTGAAACCTATGGGGATTCACAGAGGGGTCTGAGGTGAGGTAGTAGGCTTTGAAAACAGAGTAAATTGTGTACTGTGGAGTGAGAAATATATGTGAGAAGTAGGGTATTTGAAATAAAAAGTGGAGAACCTAGGATTTGTTGGAGGAAGAAGATGAAGTGGACCGGATGACCACTGGACACCCCGATGGCGTGTCCATTGTCCGATCAACCTCTTGTAGGTGCCAAAATTTTTGTAAGGTTCATGCAGAGGTGCTAGTAAAATTTCAAGATGATTCGATGGGCGAATCAAAATGAGGATTAAAATGATTGTTTTGGCCTCCAAGGGCCAATTTGACCTAATTTTTGGGTAATTTTGAAAAAATAAATTTTATTTTCATTCTTAGGTAGGTTAAATTTCATTAAAAAATAATATCATTTTATTTTTAACTATTTCGGATCGAAAATAAGTATATGGTAAAGTTTTTTAATTCTGGATCAGTTAAAACTTTTTAAATTCATTTTGAAATTATGTCTTACATTATTTATGAATATTTTTGTTATATTTTGAAACTTATGATTGGTTTTTTGAATTTGGACTGAAAAACATGGATTCAAATTAAGATTTTGAGTGTGATAACGCACAATGGTCCCAAACGATGGATTTGACTATATAAAATGAGATACCAGATTCTTTTTAAACTAATTGTAAGTGCACATAGGTTGAATTGCAGCAAGAGTTTACGTTCTAGTTTGAGGTTACAGAAGATGCTCTTTGAGTTCATAAATGCTTGAGTAACCAGTTGGTTTTCGAACTTTAAGTGCTAAAGTTAAGTTGTGGTGAATATGAAACGTCACGAAATATATTCATATGCATTCATTTGCATCAGTTAAGTTATTTTTGAGTCGATACTCATTTATATTTATCCATGTGTTAACTGTTAGGATTAAAAGCTATTACTTCAATTAGGATTAACCGTAAAGCAGTGAGGGTTATTCGGGAAATGTGAAGTATACTGCTTCATAATAATTAAAAACAAAAATATATGATATATCAAGTTTATTCTCTTGTACGTGAGAAATCAAGTTTGTCAAATTGATCTGAGTTGAGTTGCTTAAACTATGGATCAAATGTGTTATTATGAAAAGCTTGTGATTTGAATATTATCCACTATGTCGAGTTTTTAATAGCTTGACATGACTTACATATTGTTGATTTAGACACTGCGCAGTTATGGTGAGACAGCTTGACATTGTTTAAATGTTGTAAATAGTCTGACATTGCTTATATGTTGTTGTTTGACTCGCTACTTATGTGGATATTTACTATTTTAATATATGAGGTTAATTTGGGTTTCAAAGTGAGTTGAGTTCACTTTGGTTGTGATTTGCGAATTATGAGTATATTTTAAGTAGAATTATATTTAATCCATATTTTTGTTATATTTTCTTTAATTATGATGTTTAGTACACTCAAGAACATTATTAGTTTCAGGATGTCAAAATCTAGAGTGGAGTCCACTACTATACTAGCATGGTAGAGATGGAGAAAAATTAAAAAATCTAGTTTATGTACATATTGTATAGGAGTGTTTATTTTTCCTTTGTTATAAAGGGATGAAACCCTACTTTTTTATTTTTTGTACAAACGACACCGTTGTGTATTCTGTTATATAGCTTATCTCTTTTTGGTGTTATTAGGTGACATTATTAATTTTAAATGCGTTAGTGCATTATAGACACATATTGTCACGCGTTGAATTATGATTTCATCTCTGGAAAACCAAAGAGGTCTCTCAAGATAGGGTGTGACACATGTTGAGTAATCCATTTAATAAACAAATCATATTCAATTTGTAGATTTCACCGATTTAATTAAACAAATCATATAGGATTGAATGGTTTTTCATACGAACCTAATGGCTCATAGTTACTAGATGCCTTATTGGTGGAATTGGGGCGTATGAAACAAATGTCTATGGACTAGATGATTTTTCACAAGTATGCTCTCATGATTTAGATGACTCATAGTTGGTGAATGCCATATTGGTGGAATTGGTGCATTACATCTTTGGGCGTGTATCAAGCCTCGATGCTTAATTTTATTTTATTTTTTGTATTTTTTTCTTTTAATCTCAATTTATATTTAACAAGAGAAAATAAAAAATGGGAGTCGTATTCAAACTAGCCTACATGCACTAAAAAAACTGGTACCTTAAAGGATGACCCAAAATGCAATAAAACAAGAAGAAAGAAAAACAAAGGCATAATTAATCCTAGTTTTTATCTAGTGTGATGCATTGAAATATTTTTAGATTTCATTTTATCGTCTTCACTCATCTCCATAATTTAAAATATTTAGAAAAGTAATAAAGGGATAATCATGGGAAATTATAAAAAAAATGTGTGAAGTTAGATGAATGTAATGTTTTAAAACCCGGTTCGGCCCGTTGGGTTGACCCAATGAACCGGTACCTAAACGGGATCAGTTTAAGAATCAGACCGTTTGTGCATCAAACCCGGAATAAACCCATTGAATCGGATAAAAAACTGCTGAACTTTTCAACCCGGGCGAGTTAAACCAAATCGGACAATTCATTTAGTTTAGTATAAATAACTGAGTTTTGCCCCTATTTGGCATTTTGCCCTAAATCGTCTTCACCTCTACCTTATGAACGACAGTTATCTCCGATGTGAGTTCCCAACTCTGCATCTTCGTCTTCGGCTCTGCCTCCTGGAGTCCTTTGCACATAGTGAAGAGTACTAGGTTTAAGAGATTTATTGACAGGTTTGATCAGCTTGGAGGTTTCTTAAATGGAGAATCAGGGTTTGTTTTTGTGATGAAAACGACATTGATTCAGTTGGGTTTCTCTTCTTCTTCTTCTTCTTCGAGCTTCTAACACGAAGACCTCTATTTTTGCTCTACTACTTTATTTTTGCATCACCTCTCTTTCTCTCTTTCTGCCCCTCTAAAATTTCTGCAATCAAGGATTATAATTGGTGGTAGAGATTACTTTTACTCCTGTATTGTGTTTCAACAGGTAATTGTTGTTACTTTTACTCCTTTATTGTGTTCATAATTTTATCTCATTTTCTTTGTTTGATTTTTTTTTCGTCTGTGCCTCTGCCTCCTAGATTGAAGAGAAAGAAATACAGTCTCTTACTCTCTCATTCTCGTAATTTCAATATCAATCTTGATCGAAGTGAAAGAAAAGCCAAAATGACTCGATCGATCAGAGCTCCATCAAGCATCGACGACTACAACAAGTACACACACTCTTTCTCTATCTCTCTCTGACTCTATGCTATATCTAATTTTTTGTTTAAATTTTTGGTGTAAAATATTGAAATATATATTGAATCTTTGATTAATAATGTTATATTTTATACTGAAGTTTTGATTTCTTATACATTGATTGACTTTGAACTTTGAAAAGTGCAAATTACATGAATTATACTTGGATTGATGCATAGCAGCAGAATTGAAGTTAGAATTAGAGCTTTGAATTGAAATAGATGTATTTTTCTCTATTGAACTTTATAAGTTGTATTGAAAATTGAATGTATTAGATATATGTTTGATGATTTTTCTCTACTTGACTTTATATGTTTAATGCTATTTTCATAATTATTGTGATTTTTTAGCTTATTTATTAGTATTTATAATTATTTTTTTATTACATTTACTGGTCTGATTAGTGACCCAACGGTCGAACCAGTGACCCATTGACTCGATCCTTTTGCCGAGTTGATGTTCGGATCTGATTTTAAAATTATTGATGAAAGAGCAATGTTACATAGATGAAAAGTATAAATAATGGGAAGTAATAGATCCAATTATAACTTTAATGAGTAGTTAGTATGAAACATGAAAGATTTCTACCAGATTTATTTTTAATTTAATAAAATTACAATTTTTATAAAAAAAAAAAAAGAAAGAAAAGGCCTTTCAAAATTAATCCCAACAAAATAAATATTCGATGTATCAATGATTCGGTGTGCTTACAATTTTACAATTTAATAATAATAAAAAAAAAAAGCAAATGGACAAAATAAATCTCAATACTCTAATAACCACTAGTAATCAACTCATCTAACAATAAACACATAAAATTAGTACAATTTAATTTGTTTATTTATTATTATATAGCGTTAATCTGACAATAACACAGGATCATCAAGGAAAAATTTCATTTACACCTTTAATATTTAGGTTTAAATTTAATGACTTCATCTCTCAATTTTAAAACTTCATTGCACGCTAACAATAATTTTTGTCTCCAACAGTAGATAAAGTGCATGATTTGACATTCTATTATTTAAAAATATCAAAATTATTATCTGTTATGTTAATAAACAATAATTAATAAGAAATATCAATAAAATTTTAAAATAAAATAGATATGTTATTAAATTTAAATCTAACTATAAGGGTTTAGGTGAAAATTTTCCAATCATCAACGTTACGGTCAATATTTTCTCCCCGGACCAATGTAATCTAATTTCTATTGAATAGTCGTCGCCCAGCCGCAAAATAGGAACTAACTTATTATTGCCGGAATGAGTCTTCAATAGTCGTCTCATTAGACGTCTCTGATCGATACATCCACGACAAAGTCTTACACGACAAATCCCACATAATCAATGGAGCAGCCTACAACGAAGATGGTTCTAGGACGACTGGTCGGCCGTGACGGTGGCGACGAGGTTGCTCACAAAATCTTCCACAACCCCTTTTGACGGTTCAATTCTCAACCTCCCCTATTAAACCACACCCTCAAATCATCCACCCCGAACCATATATAGTACCATACCCACCTCCACTCTCCCACTCTTTACGACGGTCCCAAGTTTTTACTCTCCGGCGACGCAGCGGATATCGCACCGCGTTCCGTTGGATGGGTCAATCGTCTTCTGTCCATGGGATTTATACGGATGGTTCAGACTGCTATAGCCTCAACCCAAGCCACCACCGGACCACCGGCACTGTAGTGTTGTCAAATGAAAGCCAAACTTCCTTTTCCGATGGTGATATCGTCGATCAAGACTACATTTCTGAACTTCCCGACGAATGCTTGGCGATTATTATTCAGTTCCTGAGCTCCGGGGATCGGAAACGATGCTCCCTCGTATGCCGGCGGTGGCTCCGTGTGGAAGGCCAAAATCGCCAACGCCTCGCTCTCAGCGCCCAATCCGAGCTCATCCATCACATCCCTTCCCTCTTCGCCCGCTTCGACTCAGTAACGAAACTCACCCTCCGATGCGATCGCCGATCTATCAGCATCAGCGATGACGCATTGATCTTAATCTCCCTCAAATGTCGTAACATCACGCGTCTCAAGCTCCGTGGCTGCCGCGAACTTACCGACATCGGAATGGCCGCTTTCGCACAAAATTGTAAGAAATTGAGGAAATTTTCCTGTGGATCTTGCATGTTTGGAGCCAAAGGCATGAACGCTTTGCTCGATTACTGTTCATCTCTCGAAGAACTCTCAGTCAAACGCCTCCGTGGCATTAACGAAGGGTTCACTACCGAACCGATCGGTCCCGGCGTGGCGGCTTCATCCCTCAAAACTTTGTGCCTCAAAGAGCTTTACAATGGTCAGTGTTTTGGACCTTTAATTATTGGGTCAAAGAGTTTGAGGACTTTGAATCTGTTGCGTTGTTTTGGCGATTGGGATAGCCTTTTGGAAACGATTACGAATCGGAAAAATAGTTTGGTTGAGATTCATTTGGAGAGGCTTCAGGTGAGTGATATCGGTGTTTCCGCCATATCGAATTGCTCGGAATTGGAGATTTTGCATTTGGTGAAGACACCCGAGTGTACGGATGCTAGTATTGTGGCTGTGGCTAAGCATTGTAAGTTGTTGAGGAAGCTTCATATTGATGGTTGGAGGACTAACCGCATAGGCAATGTCGGGTTATTTTCAATCGCTCAGTATAGTGCTAATCTTCAAGAGTTGGTACTTATTGGTGTAAACCCCAGTTTTATCAGTATCGAGGCAATGGTTTCCAACTGTCGAAAATTGGAAAGATTGGCGCTTTGTGGTAGTGAAACAATTGGGGATGCGGAGATTTCATGCGTTGCAGAGAAATGTGTGTCATTGAAGAAGATTTGCATCAAGGGGTGTCCGGTTTCAGATCTGGGGATTGAGGCATTTGCTTGGGGCTGTCCTAATTTGGTGAAAATTAAGGTTAAGAAGTGTATGGGAGTGACTTGCGAGGTAGCTGACTGGTTGAGAATGAGAAGGGCATTGTTGGGAGTTAGTTTGGATGTGGGTGAGATTGAAGCTGGGGCAGCAGATGCGAGTGTGAGTTTTGGTAGAGCACAAGAGGATGGTGTGGAGATTCCACCAGTTGTGAGCGGAGTGACTGGTGCTGCTAATGCCGATGCTGATGCTACATCAAGTAGCAATAGCAATGGTCGATCATTGGGGTTCAAGTCAAGGTTTGGACTCTTTGAAGGTAGGAACCTGGTGACTTACATCCTTAGGAGATGGTCCAATGGTAATAGTAATTCCAACGATAAAGAATGAATAATCTGTACAGGAGTCTTTCCAACTATTGTGCTCTTTACATTATGTTGTGGTTCTAATAATAGGATCCTTTGATTGGTGTTAATGCTTCTGTTAGTAGTTTATTTGACTTCAATACTATAAGGTCTTCTTTAGTCTTCCAGATTGAACTGCTAAAATTGTTGTACTGAGAAAATTTTACGTCTCCTTTACCAAGTCTATCTACCAAGCATCTATATTTTGGCCTTCAGTCACTTCTACAACACCAGTTTTTTTGGGTATTTTTGTGTTTGTAAGTGCAGGAGTGGTTCAGCTAGGACACACCACAGTGCTTGAGAGTTGAATGGTGTTAGTTTCTGTATGAATTCAACCATTGTTTCACCCTTTTGGGTGCATCTCAATAGTAATGCTGCTTTGATAACCCCATTAACAGAGGATGGACTCCTATACAATTAGTGATGTGTCTGGCATTTCATTTTGAACCTTTTGTAACATGTCCATATTATAGCTTTGAATTCTGGTATTCTTTTTTTTTTTTTTGGAACAGGGATTTCTGGTATTGTTTAATGTGGTTGTTATAGTTGTATTTTCTTGATGCATGCTGATGTGATAAAAAAAATGAAATTCCTTTTCTGTTTAATGCAATGAAAAAGAATATGAGTACCTATGGGTTTCAAAGTTCAGAATGGCAAATGGTCCAACACAACTGTATATGGTTTCTTTACAATGCACTCCTGATGTTTTTGTGCTTGTCACCTGAAACATTGGGCGTGCTTGCTGTGTTTGGCATTTCTGTAGTTACTGATACATGTGATTTTGATCTTTACTTTTCTTAGAAAAATTATGGAGAAATTTGCTGCATATGTCTACTATGTTATTCCCACAGAATTAGAAGTGCTTGATTTTTAGTTGATAATTCATAGCTTTGAGCCACATGCCAGCTATGAGCCAAACATCATAATGTTTGGTGTGTCAAAGTTGAGTTGTAAGTCTGAACAGATTCTGCTGACTTTAACAATTAAGCGTAGGTACCTTCTGCGGTTAGCTGAAGTCATACCTTCTCCAATCGCAGGATCAAGTATTGGTAGGGACATGGGTCTGTGTTCATTACTTATCCCTCGAGAGGAAGAAAAATAGTGATTTAAACTGAAAGAAAGAATATCGCTGGTCCGTGTTTATTCTTTTGGAGTTTCAAGTTTGTATATATAGTTATGAAAGTATATACATCTTCGATAAGTAAATCTCCGCTCATTGAACTGCTTGCATTGCTTAGTGATTTTTCTGTGTTTTTCCATCTAAGTTCTTTCTTCTACAACGTCTGTTTGCATATGAGATAATACACTTTAGGTGTTTAGCTTTGTTCATCATTTTTCTTGTAATTCACTCTGTAATTGTACTTACTGTTACCATGAGGCATGTCAGTTGTGTTTCATGGCTGCATGAGCTAGTCCGTTTGATCTGAAAACTGTTACTCATCCTTTTTTCTTGTAATTCATTCTGTAATTGTACTTACTGTTACCATGAGGCATGTTTGTGTTTCAAGGCTACATGAGTGAGTCTATTTGATCTGAAAACTGTTGCTAACTAGATCTTACTAAGCTGTGTAGACATTATTCATGTTGTTGAATTAATATGTAGTCCAGCTTAAGGGAAATGTAAACACAAATCAAAAAGGTTAAAGAAAGAAAAGAAAAGGTGAAATATACCGAAAACTACAAACTTGTTTGTAATTGTTAAAGGTATTATCGTGAAATTCGCACTTTATGCCAACGATTGGCACTTTATGCCAACGAGATGTTTCGAGGCTTATTCTGCATATCAAATTTCCTAAGTAGTTTGAGAAATCAAGTGCCATGTATGATCTAGATGAATAAGCCCCAACTAAGATGTATCATTCTTTTTTTGGCTAGAGATGTCTCACCTGTGAAAAGATTTGATTATATGTGAAAATTGGAGTGCCTATCTAAAGTGAAGTCTTGACTTTAGTCTGGTTAGAGTTTCAAATGTTCAATTTGGTAGAGGCTTGTTTTTTATTTCACACTATAAAGTGTGCGGTGGCTTTAGATCGAGTCTTAGATGTTGATTCCATTTATGGCTTTGGGCCAATCATCTTAGTTATTCAGAAATCTACCGAATCTGAAGGAATTTTTTTTTTGGGTGCGATACATTTACTGGGGGAGGGCACATGAATGTATTTATATGTTCTTGGCATATTCCTCTGGTTGAACTCATATTTGGTCCATCCGTGAATTAATGAAGGTGAAATGTTGAGTGACAGAGTTTGCTCTGGTCTGATATTGGTCCTGATTGTTTTAAATCTCATGAAATAGTAGTATTGGTTTGCCATAGATGGTGCCTTGAGGGGAATGTGACCAAAGAAATAAAGCAGGGTACATGAAGTAGGGGGACCTTCATGTTTCAACCAGAGTGTCTTGTTCACCTCACCCAGTTTTCGAGCTTGTATAATCAGAGATTCTAGTGGCATGTGTACGCGTGTATTTGTTGATGCAACAGGATAGAAGATAATAGTGAAAAAACTCAGCTTCAAAATGATAAGGAATGCCTTCAATTCTTTCAGAGCATACTAGCTAATATGGTCCATGTTGATGTCATTCCTTTGTAATATCACTTGCAGAACTTGTTAAAATGGTGGCTTGGTGTCCAAATACTGTTGTGAACAGAATATGTATTGCATAACTTATCATCTCTGTAATGGTCTTCAAGACATCACACAACAACCTCCACTGCTCCAACACCCATTATCGAACCAACTAAACAAGCACCACAACCACCACCATATTCCACTGCCCAACACACCCACCCACAACTTGCATAAAGCTGGCAACCATGTTAAGACGTCCCTTCTCCATTGCCCAACCACCACCACAATTCAGAATGCAGGACCCTCAACTAAACATTTACAGCTCGCATGGAGCTGCCGAACCATGGCCAGACCCCCCCCCCCTTCCTCCCACATATCCCATCCATCACCACAAATAGGGGTGTTAATCAACATGAACTACTCAAACTCAGTTTAGATAGGATTCGGGTCAAGCCCAAGTTCCTGTTTTAAATAAGTTAAGCTTGAATAATTTTTTAGGAGCTTGACTCAAGTTCGGAGTTTGACGCAAGTTCGATTCATTTCCTAAATAAGTCGAACTTAAATAATTTTTTAGACTCGTTTAAGCTCGTAAAATTCGACTCGTTTAACACTCCTAACTACAAACTCAAACCCAATTAAAATTCAACACAAATTGACGCAAATTCAATCACACCATTACATGAAAATGTGGGTAAGTTTAGGCACAATATTTTCTTTATATTTTTTGATTTTGTATATTACATATTCTTGTTTAGGATTATGCCATGCAAATTGATCCGAGATGAGCTTTAAGCTTAGTAAGGGTGCCAATTGAGCAGCGCCTTTATTTTGTCGTGTGATTTTGAATTTATATTAAATATTAATCAATTCTAATTTAATATATTCAATTAATCTTATTTGGGCATGTTTCTTTCAGGTATTAAGTGGTATTATAGGGTGGGATAGAAAGAAATAATATTTGGGGCCTACCTATTACCTTCTTTGTTCGGCATTTTACACGCAGTATTATTTTTTGGGTTGTAAGATCGACCTGGTTTGAACAATGTCTTTTAAATCTTGTATATAATATTAATAAATACCACCTAACCAATGATATTATCTTCCTAGGCTAAATGAAAAGACGGTACAAACATACAAATTGACGCAAATGCCCTTCTCTTTTAAGAGTTCACATATAAAAAATTTATTTTAAAATTTTTTCCTTATATTATGTTTAAGCGTATGGTATCACCGGTTTTTTTTAAAAAAATTATTTTAAATTTTTTCCTTTTATTATATTTAAGCGTACAATGTTACCGTTTTTTTTTTAAAATTATTTTGAATTTTTTTCTTATATTATGTTTAAGCGTTCAATGTTACCGACTTTTTTTTTAATTTTTTAAAAAAAAATTATTTTAAATTTTTTCCTTATATTATATTTAAGCGTACGATGTTATCGATTTTTTAAAAAAAATTTTAAAAAAAATTATGTTGAATTTTTTCCTTATATTATATTTAAGCGTACAGTGTTATCGATTTTTTTTTTATATTTTCTTTAAAAGTATTTTGAATTTTTTCCTTATATTATGTTTAAGCGTATGATGTCACCATTTTTTTTTACGGTATCACCAACTCATAGCATCAAATTATTTTTTTTTTTATGAATTTTTTACATTATTCGAAATTTTTTTGGTATGAATTGTTATATCATGTATTATGTGATGATCCATATATACATAAATCATTAACACATTAATTAGGTCATCAATTTTGATTTTCATATAATTGAAATTAATTTTTAAAAATATATATATAAATATAAATAAATAATAATATATATTTTTTTATGAATAAATGGACATCAAATATAGACTCTTCACGTGAAAACGAGTCAAATGACTATAAATTAGGTTAAGTTTTGTAACAAATAAATATGTCTATATATACATAATGAATGAATAAATATATATATATATATATATATATATATATATATATATATATATATATATATATATATATATATATATATATATATAGATTAAAGGACATGAACAGTAAAAATGTGCATAAAAAAAAGAAATTGTGGAACAGTGGACAAGTGTCTGTGAGAATGCTTGGTCTCCAAGTAAATCTTGGCCGTAACTAGCCAAGTACATTGAACGGCACAAGGAAAAAGAGAGGGAGGAATAAAGGAACGGAGAAAAAGAAGAAAAAGGGAAAATGGGTCAAAAATTTTGTTGACCTAAGAATTTACGGTTACGATTAAAATTTTAGGTCAAATTTTTTAGTTATTGTTTAGTAAATTTTATATGTTCGAGTCACTTAAAGTTGATCTTCATTAAATATTTTTGGATCAAATTTAAATATCATTATCTTTCATTAGTTATTCTAAAAATTATTTTAGGTTAACTAAACCTTTATTACCTATTGTTATTCTAAAATATTATTTTGGTTATTTTGTTACAGTACACGGTATCAAATAGAAGTCAAGAAGGAGGTAGCGTTTCTTTTATCTTTTACTATCATTGATGCATTTCATGAATATTTGGGGGTTTCATATCAAATCTATTTTAAATTATATAATGTAATATTATATCGCTATAATCATGGGGTCAAACTGAGCTTTTATAAATAAATCGTTATCATGCACATATTGTATTTTTATCGAGACCCTAATTATCTCATGAAACCACGTTGCATAATAATTTTTTTTTATTATTAATATTTAATGTTTGATTTGTTGTGGAGTCTGACTACGATATGATTTTATTTTGTGATTTTGATGAAATTATTATAAATGCACATAATCGATGACAGATGATTAGTAGATGCGTGACCGTTGCAAGGATTCACTGGATTCCAACTAGTCCTTAGATTCACCGGTTAGTAATATCGGTTGTCTTAGTAGCCTGTGTGGCACCACATAATTTTTGGTATTGCTGTTTCTAGAAAAGCAAGAAGGGTATTGGATTCCCTAGGGTGCAAGACCCCAAAATTTTCTCCAGAGGCGGTTCATGCGTGGACCAGAAAATTGACGGATTGATATGATCGATATGTGCTGCAATTTATTTATTTATTTGATTCATTAATTTGCTTTATTCCTACATTTATTCGCAGTTTAATTATATTATGCATTCTTTTAAAACCTTGGTAGTCATTGATAAACGTTATCCTACTGAGCTGGTGAGCTCATCCATATTTAACATTTTTCAGATATATGAAGTCGAGCTGAAGGATAAGCTGAAAGGATGATAAATATAGTCTGCTATTACTATTTCTCTTTATATTATATTAAGAATATTTGAAATAATCTTATGAATATTAT